TCACAGGCCTTTTTTTTTTTTTTAAAGGAGAATGGTATGTGAATTGGCCCCAGAATGGGAGGGGAGGGGAGAATGAGAGAATCAGGTATATGGATTATCATCAGAGAGACACAAAGATAGATTTCCTGCTACCGGGAAGATTTATCAGGCATTCCTCTATACCTGTGGAGTTCCAGATCCACGTAGGGAAATTTTTTTTTATGAGTTTTTCCTTAATCAGGTCCCATATAACACGAGTCATTTCATCCCCCTGCATCTCGACAACAGGCCCGCCATGGATTTTTTTAGACATTGTGCACTAACAGAGAAACAAACAACAAAAAAAGACATACTGAACAACAGTAGCAGCAGCAGGAAAAACTAAAAAGCAAGAGCGCGCTGCTAGCAAACACCAGCGCTGACAGAAAGGGGTCTGTTTACGTTCTCATTTTTATTCTGTTTTCATTTACTTTTCTAAATGCCCCACCTTTCTCTCCAATGAAGGCCCTAAGGCGGTTTATATCCTTCTCCTCTCCTCCACTTTACCCTTACAACAACTCTGCAAGGTAGGTTAAGCTGAGAGGGTATGACTTGCCCAAGGTCGCCATGGCAGACAGTGGATTCACTACCGCATCTCCCAGGTCCTAGTCCAGATCTCTAACCACTAGACCACGCTCGCTCTCACCACATTTGTTCACATTCTAACCCAGGGCAACGCAACCCCACTGCAACTCCTGTAAAAACAGAACCTGAAATCCGGGTTTGTGGTAAATTAGGCAACATACATGGAGATGCTGTATACTGAATCAGACTACCAGTCCATCAAGATCAATATTCTCAACCAGGGCTATTTTTGGGCAGGAACGCACAGGAACGGAGTTCCGGCTGGCTCTCGAGTTGGCCACGCCCAGCAGGAACTCATTAGCTTAATAGGCCACACCCAATAGCAGAAACTCATTAGGATTGGCTACATTAGGGGTGTGTGGCCTAACATGCAAAGGAGTTTAAAAAGCCCTGGGTTTTGACAACAAACAAGGTAAACAGAATAAGAAGGGAAAGGTGGGTGTGGCTGGATGACCACACTTCTGGTAACATGGTGGTGTGGCCTAATGGGCTAATGAGCGGTGCTGTCAGGGTGTGGCCTAATATGCTAATGAGTTCTTGCTGTTGGGTGTGGCCTATTATGCTAATGAGTTCCTGTTGGGCTTTTTCTACAAAAAGTGCCCTGTATCTCAACACAGATGGGCTCTCCAAGGTAGAGAGTCATTCACATCACCTCCTGCCTGGTCCTTTCTTTTTTCCTTTGGTATTTTGTATTTTGTGCGTGTGTATGTGTGCATGTATGTGTGCCTATGCCTAGAAGTCATGGTGACTTCTGGCGACTCCTACTGGGGCAGGTAGGACATTCAGAGAGGTGGCTTGATATTTTCTACCTCTGCATCCCGACCCTGGTATTCTTTGGAGGTCTCCTATTCAAGTACTTGCCAGGGTCGACCCTGCTTAGCTTCCGAGATCTGACAAGATCGGGCTTGCCTGGACTATCCAGCTCAGGGCCTGCCTGGTCCTTTCAACTGGAGATGCCGGGGATTGAACCTGGGACTTTCTGCATGCCAACCAGATGCTCTACCACTGAGCCCCTCTTTGCAGTTTCTTTGGCCATGATAGGGTAAGGTGGCCGAAGAACAGGTGTAAATGAGGATGGGGTTATTTTCGGAATCAGCAGAACCCACAAATAATAAGAAGAGATTGGATTTATACCCCACCCTTCACTACCTGAAGGAGTCTCAGAGCAGCTTACAATCTCCTTTTCCTTCCCCTCCCTGCAACAGACACCCTGTGAGGTAGGTGGGGCTGAGAGAGCTCTTTCGAGGACTGCCCTTGAGAGAACAGCTCTGAGAGAGCTTTTGACTCACCCAAGGTTATACCAGCAGCTGCATGTGGAGGAGTGGGGAATCATACCCGGTTCTCCCAGATTAGAGTCCGCGGTCCTAACTACTACACCAAACTGGCTCTTGTAAGAGGCAGCCAGCTTCTTGCAGACCACAGAAGCAAAGCCCCTGAAGGTAGCCTACTGTGGCAGAGACTGCCTCCGTGTTTTGAAATGCATTCCCACAACCATGAGAACTAGAAGCATGCTGTTTTTAAATGACAGATGAACTACTGATGTTTCAAGTGTTTCGAAGAATCTCTCAAAGACAACATACATACTAAAAGCGAGAACACATCTCCAGTCCATTTACCAATCATCATACACCATGCTGACTTCTAAAATCAGACCAGGATTTTCCCAGCAAATCTGCATTCCTGAAAATTGTGCTTCAGGCACTGTAAGGAAAGGGTTACTTATCCAGCATAGTTCCAGATTGCCCTTTGCGTGAGTATAAACCTTCTGGTAGAATTGCCTGTTCTCGCCACTGGCAAACAGTATTGCGCAAAAACAGGTACTGTAGACTTTTGCAATTTACAACGCAAAGCAATTACACCTTCTTCGTTTGATTCAAATTAGTGTGTGTGTGTGAATTACCAGCATCATCTTTTGTTTCACGTTCAACGGACAGAGGCAATAAGGAACCGAAAAAGAACAAGACATGGATACAACAATCTACTCTCCTGCCACTTGGGTTGCCAACTGACCAGGAAAAATTGTCCTGCCCTGCCCTGTCCCTTTTTTTTTTTTTTTAAAGCCCCCGGAGGGGATTTTTTAATTATTTTTTTATCACTACAAAAAACTACAACAGAAAAAAAAAAGGAAGGGGAAACTACATATACGGGAGAAAGTAAAGAACCACTACTAACTAAAACCCCAAGAGAGGAGGTCCTCCAGCTAGCTTAGATACATTAAGTCTTCTCATCATTGATCCCTTTATAAACTGAGTCAAACTTGCCCTGTCCTTTTAACAGAGAGTTTAACAGAGAGAAATGGGCTGTTGAAACTTTTCTGGTTTCAGGGCATCAGCTGATAATTGCTGCAGATCAAACTGAAAACCAAAGGGACAGCTAGAGGGCCCAGTTTAGCAGTTGCCAGCTGCATCTAACAGCCTAGTAACAGACTGGCCCTGTTCATATGTTCCTTATAGGAGTGGGGTTGCCAGGTCCCTCCTGGCCACCAGTGGGGAATGGGGGGCCTGAAGGGTTGCCAGATCCAGGCTGGGAAGCTCCTGGAGATTTGGGGATGGACGGGGACCTCAGTGGGGTACAATGACATAGAGTTCACCCTCCAAAGCATCCATTTCCTCCAGGGGAACTTATCTCTTTAGTCTGGAAATGAGCCGTAATTCCGGGGGATCCCCATGTCCCATCTGGAGGTTGGCATCCTTACAGTGGTGTGAAATCCAGCCACAAACAACATCACCAGAGATTTCCATCCACATATATCCTTTATACATTTCTGTAACAGGCAAGAGAGTTCTCCCTCTCCAAAGCCATGCAATCCAAAACTGCAATGCCGCGAAAGATCTGAATCATTTATTTATTTATACAGAGACTCAGATTTACAAGATACTTCCATGTGAGCAGAGAGCTCACAGATCTCAACTGAAGCGAAGACCAGGCCTTCTGAGATTGTGAAAGGCGTTGTAACTAAGAGACACATGACCAAAGGGCTGGCAGCTTACCTGCTCGTACAGGTAGGCGACTCCCAGGATTTCAGAGGGTGGCTCAAAGTAATACGAACCAGCCCTACGTGATTACTTTGCAGAACTTTGCCTCACATAAGTATTGCAAGACTGACATTCAAATAAATGAAAAAGAGAGAGCAAATTCTATGGCTCTCGCTTGTACTTTGATCCTTGCAAACAAAAGCACAGCTGTAAAACATTCCCCAGTTTACTTCTAAGCCTTAACAGGTATTTGGCCTCTCTACAGTCAGTTAGGAAAGTGAAAGGATGCAGCCATTTTTCTTCAGAAGAAATGATCTGTACATCAATTTTAGAGTTGGATTTTTGTCCTTTGTCTTGAAAATATAGATATTACAAACATCATTGAACGTCATCTCAACAAGTTTATTTATTCATTTTTGTCTATATAGTGCTATTGTGTGAACCTAACAGCAATTTCTTCCATTATTGTTGTTCAAAATTATCCTTGACAAAGTTTCACTGAGTTACTTGTTTCTGTGTGTAAACAGGGCCAATCTTTGGACACTTTGGAAGAAATGGAAGCATAAACTGCAGTGGCCTGCAGATACCATTCTCACGAAGCCACCAGTCCCAATCGGAATAAGAACATAAGAACATAAGAGATGCCAATGTTGGATCAGGCTAAAGGCCCATCCAGTCCAACACTCTGTATCACACAGTGGCCAGAAATACCAGTGCCATCAAGAGGTCCACCAGTGGGGCCAGGAGATTAGAAGCCCTCCCACTGTTGACCCCCCCAAGCACCAAGATGACAGAGCATCACTTGCCCCAGAGTCCCTATCTATACCTTGGGCTAATAGCCACTGATGGACCTCTGCTCCATATGCTTATCTAATTCCCTTTTGAAGCCGTCCATGCTTGTAGCCGCCACCACTTCCTGTGGAATAGGGCCACTACAATGGTAGATACTGCTGCCAGCTGTACGCTTATATTTTTTACTGTGTTTTTAAAATTCTGCCCTTCCACCAAGGAACTCAAGAAAGCATACGTGGCTCCTCCCCTCTTTGGTTATGCCACGGGACATAAAAATTCCTGTGAGCCATTATACTCTCTCACATATAAAACCATCTTTGTAATCTAATAATATAATAAAGCCAGTTGCTGGGGGCTATCCTTTTCTTTGGAAATTTTCCACGCTGCCTCTCCAGGGAACCAGCCTGAGGCAGACAGGACCTAGACAGGAAACCACGTGGGAACCCCATGCCCTTTGGAGCAAGAGTGGGACAGAAATATCAGTCACTCTTTCAGCATTTCTCCAACTATCACCATGAACATAAAAAAGATGCAAATAAACATAAATAGATATAAGAAGGGGCTTTTTGTAACCGGACATATCCAGTTCTCTGAACACCATCCTCAAACAGGACTGTTTGAAGAGAAGTGACAACATTAAACAAAAGACAGGTAGCCGGGCAATTTCACGTTTCCCACAGAGACCGTGGCTGTGTTCAGATATCACTTTAAGCCTGAATGTGCTTGAAGCTGATTTGCTGATGAGCTCATGCATAGCACGATAAAAGTATCCTGGCTGAAACTAACTTGGGTTATCTGTGATGTATGGATGCAAGTACGTAGCTCTGCATAATCTCAGAATTCTAAACCGAGGTTTAATCTCAGTTTAGAATCTTAGTTTTCTTTTTTTGGGGGGGACTCATTCAAGTTAAGGCATGTCGTTCTGTGC